AATGAGGCCTACTAACAGTAAGACTAACTTATCTTATATATATATATATATATATATATATATATATATATATATATATATATATATATATATATATTAATCTTTTAATATCATAATAGTATAAGGGTTGTATTTTAAACTTTTAAAATACTAGGGTTTTAGAATTTAATATTTCAAAATTAAAAATTTTAGTTATATTTTAAATTCCAAAACTTGAGGGCAAATTTTGAAACTTTTTAAAACTTCTAAATCAAATTTAAAATAATTAAACTAATCATATAATTTTGAACATTATCCAAATATTTGACCATTATCGTTTAATTAGATGATGATATGCATTACCATATCAGAAAATTCGATTTTAAACAGTTAAAACAATTTTAGGTAATTATCATTATCTAATTTAGGTATGAAATCCAAAAAATCTGCCAACAGTTGAACCAACTCGTCGAGTCAGGGCATGGACTCATCTAGTTGGTAAAACTCGTCGAGTTCATCTTTGAACTCGTCGAGTTCAGTAGACAGTGAGCAAAAACGATTTTGATCCAACTTTGAACCAATTACAACTGCAAATATAATAGAAAAACACCCTAAGCTCTGATACCATTTCTGGGTTTTGAGCATTACAATATTCCTTGTGCACATGCAACCCTAATTACTTTCGATCTAGGTTTTTTTTTAAGTTATACATGCAAATTAATTTTCCAAAGCAAGAACCCTAGATCTACTATATAAATTCAAAATCTATATATATATATATATATATATATATATATATATATATATATATATATATATATATGGGTTTAGTTGATTACCTTTCTTGTTAGCTAGTAGTAACAAGTAATCCTCACTTCAATTCCTTGATCTTTGAAATCCAAATGCTTCAAGCGTTACACCTTTAATGGAATCACATACACTACAAGCAAATAATGAGGGAGAGGGAGTATGAAATCAGCTAGGGTTTCTCTTTGAATGTAGGCATGCCGATTTCCTAAGGCTAGGGGTCCCTTTTATAGTTAAGGCTGCTAGGGTTTTCAACTGGAAACCCTAATTCCGTTGCTTAGGCCTTAAGCAATCCATAGACCCCCATACGATAGGCCTTGGATGAAAAATCTATGGGGCTTGCCATAGATTTTCGTCGAGTCCTTATCAATAGAGTCCAATAGCCCAAAACTACAACTATCAGTGATTTACATAATCAGTCCCCGTTCTTTTAATCAGTTCCTTTGATCACTAAATTAATTCCAAATTAATTTCTGATCAATATTAATTAAATAATATGATTTCTCAATTAATATATTATTCTTATAATATATTAATAAACCATTAACTAATCTCTTACTCCAAAACTCATTCTGTCTAGTTGCTACGGTGAAGGCAACCCAAAAGGACCATGGTACAATCAAATCAAGTACATATCAATTATAGTTATGGGCTTAGACACCTAATCCAACAACTTTATCTCAGCAACCTTGTGAGCAAGAGATTCCTTCCTTGAATTTACTGTTTCCATGAAATGTTCATGATGTGTCTTAGCGACATTACGAAGCTTTTGAATTCCAAAATCAAAACTCTTTGAATGAAAAGCTAATCATTCTGCTTGTTTCTACTCAATACCCTCAATCAAATTTCACATACGTGATTCTTGAGATTTCAGCAAATAATCCATCTCAACCGCAGTTACGTAATTCTTCCCTCAAGTATCTGTTGTAATTTGAATAATAAAATTGATTTTTGAGTTCAGTCTGTTGAATTGCCTACTTACCATAATTAGTTCAACAGGAAAATCTTCTTTTCTGGATTGAATTGAAGATTTGCAATTGAAACCATGACATATTCATCATTAGCTTCGCCTCCTTGATGTGATGGTTACTTAATCAACACCGTAAAAATCACCACGTAATAGAAGTGATCATCACTTTTCTCCTTCAGTCCTATGAAAATTCTGAATCGTCACTTCATTTTGACCGTTTACTTCGTTCAATCAGATCAGAACTTCCTTAAGTTTCAATACCAAGATAGGGCTTAAAAGTTTCATGACCAATAGTGAACCATCCTTCAACATGGAGCAAGGCTCAAGTACTTATGGGAAGGATAAGTAGAATCATTTTCAAGACTTTCCGAAATCTAAGTTTCAAGTTGGTAATACCCAAAACCTCAAGGATTTCATTGCTTCCGTATGCCAAAGAATGAGATAGAAGCAAGTAAAACAAAGTGTAGATATTGTGATATGAAAGTTCATTTGATATGATGAAGGGCCCAAATTAGTGGTTTTCTCTAGGCTTTACAATGTAATAGTAGGGAGTGTGTTAGTAGTGTGTTTTTGGTTAGTTTACGGTTGTAATGAGTTTACGGCCGTAAAAACCTTACGGCCGTAAACTCTTCTAGGTTGTAGTCCCTATAAATAGAGGGCTTGTGTCGGTCTATTTTGGTTGTTGATGCCTTAGTGTTCACGGCTTCTTATCGAGTTGTACCAGACGTTTATAGCTATAAAACGTGTGCAAGCTTGGTTTATTCTCTTTTCGCTTGTATTATCGCTTCTATTATTCTCTTTTCGCTTCTAGATTCATCTCCCTGATGAAAGCCAAGAAATGTTTGTCCAAGGGATGCACATCATACTTGACATTCGTGATCGATGCTAAGAAGGAAAATAAGGAAATGCAAAGTATACTAGTAGTGTGTGATTATCCAAATGTCTTTCCTGAAGATCTTCTGGGATTACCTCCTGATAGAAAAGTAGAGTTCTGAATAGACTTGTTACCAGGAACGACACCAATAGCGAAAGCAGCATACCGATTAGCACCTATGGATATGAAGGAACTTATGACACAACATCAGGAGTTATTGGACAATGATTTCATTCCACCTAGTTCCTCACCTTGGGGAGCTCCGGTGTTATTCATGAAAAAGATGGACAGAAGCTTGAGAATGTGTATAGACTACCGAGACCTAGTTCCTCACCCTGGGGAGCTCCGGTGTTAGGGGTATTGAAGTAGGAGAAGTTGTATGAAAAGTACTCCAAATGTGATTTTTGGATCCGAGAAGTCCAATTCATGGGTCATGTGGTTAACCAAGAAGGGATAATGGTTGACCCAACAAAAATCGAAGTTGTGATGAGGTGGGAACGACCGAAAACTCCCACGGAGATTCGAAGCTTTCTCGGATTACCTGGATATTACCGAAGGTTTATCCAAGATTTTTTTTTGATAGCTGCTCCATTGACAACTTTGACCCACAAAGGAGCTACATATACTTTGAGTGAGAAGCACGAAGAAGCATTTGAGAAGCTAAAGAAGAAATTATGCGAAGTACCGATTCTTTCTCTACCCGATGGAGTTGAAGACTTTGCAGTGTATAGTGATGCATCGGGAGTCGGGTTAGGATGTGTTCTAACTCAAAGAGAAAAGGTGCACTACTAGAAAACAGACCTTTAATGACGCGCTTTTTACGACACGCACTGATTAGTGATACGCAAAAGGGTGTGCCCTAAAAATAATGTCAGATCTTTAGAAATTTAAAGAATTTTGGACGCGCATTTTTGTGCGCCCTAGAATTAGTGTCTCACCAAAAAAAACGGAGGCGCTTATGTTAAAGGCGTGTCGACTAGAAATGTCGCTTTATAATTTTAGAAACACGCTCTTCAGCAACTAGCAGCGGGAAAAAGGAAATAAAAAAAAAATTAGAAAACCCGCCTTCCTTCCTTGTTTCCCATCTTTAGCTCTGGGTGTGTTCTTTGACCACAAAAATCTTCTCCGGTCTTCCTCCGCCTCCCTACATCGAGTGTTGCTTGCTTCTTTCCCTTGCACTCCAACCGCCGCCACCAATTCTTCCCCGTCAAGGCTCATTTACTTCTACCCACAGGAACCACCATATCTCCCACTCGATGTTGAAATTGTCAGAAAAAGCCCTAATTCAGTATTATACTCTCAAGTCTCAATATTAAGAATGCAAATCTTGATTCTCGTTTGTTTCTTATTCCCCACAGATAAATCGAAAAAAGGGAATTAGAATGACGAAGGTAGCGGGAGTTTTGGTCCGGTGGTTGTGGTTCATCTATCAAGCAAGGAAGATAGGAACGCAAGAAGCCATGGTGGCTCGATGATAGCAATCAATCGAGAAAGGGGAAGCACCTCTGGTGCGGGATCGATTTGACGAAAGGAGAAGGGAGAAGCAGCAACGCTGCTCTTGTCTACCGCAGCAAGGGGGGCGCTTTGGCGGTCTCCTTGGATGTTCTACCTTTTCGCCAACAGATTAGACGTAGGGAGGGGACTCAACTAGTCCGATGGAGCAGGGCAGGTAGCGACTGGTAGATCGGGATGATCGATCTATTCGTGAGGAGGAGGAGGAAATTATCGGTTCCCGGTGAGCCTTCCTTAGCTTATTAGACTCCATCATCGGTATAAATCGGGGTAAACGAGTCAGGTTCTTGTCTGATTTTGATGAAATAAACGGTGGGGGGAAAGGTTTGGGTGGAGGTCTGATCGATGAAAATAGTGGGAGCCTTTTGATCTTGTCGGATGCTACTCCATCTCCAGTGGTCGTTGAGAACGAAGGGGAGGACCTCTGGGGTTTGGATAGATCAAAGGAAGAAGAAGAATGAAGTTGTGGCGGTCTTCTGTGATTGAAGGTAAACGGATGGGGTTTTCTTGAACCTCACAGGTCATATTCTTCTTCTTCTTGGGGCTTTTTTCTTGACATTAGATAAACAATGTCTATTCTCCTGTAGTATAAAATTATTATTCATAAACACAAATGAATACTCCCTCCTTCCAAACAACTAGTCCAAAATTGAAAATCAACTCAAATGCTTTAGTTTTTCTTGACTTTGAATCTTTATTTTTGGTCATAATGATCAACATTGGGGATTTTTTTCTCAGAGAAAGATCGGGGGTTTAGTAGTCTAAAGATCTGGAAGCATTATCATATTGTACAGAGGAACAAACTACAAGTGTCCTTACTTATTTGTAAAACCAAATGATGCATCTGTTGATGAACCAATGAGTTTATCTACAAAATCTGAAGATAATGGTGTTCAAACAAGAACAACAACTGAGCCAGAGCCACCTTTGATTCACGGAGTGGGTTCAAGAACCAGAGTTCGATTTCAGCTACCTGGTGAGAAACAGCTCATGGAAGAATCTGATCAGCTTTTGCAAGGATTGGTTCCATGGTTTCAGCCTGTTGGAAGTTGGATTTCACGTATTGATTCATCCCTCTCTTCTTGTGATTTTTAAATAAAAATTTGATTTTCTAAACAATTTTTATCTAATTGAACATGATGCACCTATAATTTTTTGTGTAGTGCAACTAGAAAAAAGGGAAAAATCTCAATTTTGATGGTACAAATGAACGAAACAGATCCACATCTTTAATTAATTGTGTAGTTAGAAGAGAAAAATTCGATGTATACATGACTCTTGACCATAGACACCAATATGATCGTATGTGGCTGGCACTCAATCTTCTCCACTTATGACAAAACGATAGTTTAACAAAGGTTCAATATCTCTTATAACTATTGTTTTTTAGCAGTGAAGATTTTTAAGAAAAAAAGGATTTTGCAGTGTTACATGGTGGGAATTAAGCTATATTGGAGAGGCAATGGTAATGGATGTTGTGAGGATTTTAATAAATCATAAGTCCTCTTCCAAAATTGATAAGACAAGGCGAACCAAGACATGTTTTAACAACATGGTGGTTTCTAGCTAATAGAGGGCCAACCGAATGGGGTAACACCTTGATTCAATCAAAACTTGTCCCAGTCGTCTATGGTAAGTCATTGGAATTTCAAGACCTGATTTGAGACATTATTAATCAATAAAAGTTAAGACTTTTATGTTTATGAAATGATAATAATAAAATAATTATAATTGTGATTTATTAATCCAGGGATCTTAGTCGTAACTACCTCAATGGAACTTTACCTCCCCCAATGGGCTACTATGCGTTTGGTTGACCTGTATGATTTCTGAACCACCCAATTTTTTTACATGTGAAAAATAATTATTTTACTTTAATAAAACATCTTAATCTTATAATAATAAACCATGATTATATGCAGCTCTCTCATGGTAAACAAATTATCCAGCCCATTTCCAAGAGTTCTCAGCAGAATAACTACCCTTGTAAATTGTAGACAACATCACCCGTTCTTATTTTGTTACAATACAATAAATAGAAAGAAAACATCACTTTGATTGTTTCTTCAACATTTTTTAGGAGCATGGAAGGAAATCGCTTTTCAGGATCCATACCCCAAGAGATTGTCAACATGAAAATTGTGTAGAAACTGTAATAACTAATAACTTTTCTTTTCACCTTTTTACCCTTGTACACTTCTTCTTAAAACCCTAAGAAGGAAAAATAATAGATTGAAATTCTAAACTTTGATCTATGTTCATATAAAATTTTGTATTTCCATTTCCCAGTATTCTGGCTTCAAATGAATTATCTGGCCCACTGCCTGTTGGACTTGGAAAACTTACAAACTTGACTAATATGTGAGTATACATATACATAGTACATACATCTTGTAAACTTATCAGCCATGTTTTAAATATTATGTTTTCATCTCATATTATTTATGCATTATCAGTTTCCTTTAACTGCTGTTACATCAATCATCGATGGCTTAAAGAAGCTCTACATCCAGAAGCTGAAACCTTTAGAAGTCACATATTGGGGACCAGATTGTGACCGCCCGAATCCCATATTTTTCTACCCTATTATATCCCAGGTACAAATAGGTTAAACTCAGCTAGCTTGTGAAAGGTAGATACTGTTAACCAAGAAGAGGGTCGATCAAATGGAGTGGAGTAGTAGCAACCCCATTCCCTTTATTCATCGGAATGCACAAAGTCCCTTTTCCTTTTTGTATAACTATAACACTATCGACCCCTATCTATACCCACCTGGTAATTCACATTCTTTGTTTTGCTTCATTTTGTGCCTTTCCTTTCAAGTTACTTATATATCAAATGTATGATGTTCAAAAAAGTATTCGAATGTATAATTCTTTTCACAAGAGAAGAAATAATTGAATAGATTGTTAACTCTCAAAATGGTCAAACGATTTTTTTTTCTATTTAAATTTTGTTGGAATTATTATCATGAAAGGCCAAATGGCTCAATGCCTTGTTGGTGCAGATCTACATGGGGCACTTATTCTAGGTTAAAACTCACTGCACGCTGTATCTATTTGTATATAATTTTCTTATATATTTCATCACTATAAGTTTTTTGTGCTAAAATTTTTCACTTTTCGCAGTTGCACGATGCAAAATGGCTGGTTTCACTGGAGTGAGTGGGATCATGATCCGTGAAACTGCAGAGACAAGTATTGCTATGTTTATTTGTTTTCAGAGGTCAAGTATTGCTATCATCTCACATTTGAGTTTATAAGAATCAACAATCACTGTGAAACTTCTAGTGTTTAGATTTCATACTGGTTGTGAACATTTGTTTCTTCCCTTTCTACCCTTCACTTGCAGGTTGATGATTTGTCAAGAATGTTCAGACTATTTTTCAAAAATACCCCATGGATTGGATCATGTCTCTAGTATGTTTAAATAGGTTTGTGATTTAGGAGTTGGATTTTTTTTTTAAAGTAGAATGCAGTTATTTGTATTTGTTGTCATCTATTTTTATCTTTTTGATGCAATGCAACATGTTGCTGCTGAAGGCACAACCTTGGTCAAACAGGCAGAAGATGTTGCAAGTAATAAGAAGGTAGAAAAGAGATTGCACGTTGATCCTGCTACGTGGCCAATAATGATCTTTAGGGTCTGCTAGAATGATTGGAGATTGCAGTTAAGCTTCTTTCTAAGACTTCACGCCAAGGACTTTATGAATTTAAGATATCATATTTTGGCATGGCTAGAAGCTTTGGAGGAAACGAGACTCAAGCAAAAGTAAACATACAGAGAGTGGTTGGCACATAGTAAGCTAGATAATGCAATTGTATATAAATGAGTTCATTTTTTTATAACTTTTACTCACTATTGGAATAATTATTTGTATTTGACATATTAGTGAAATGAATTATCTTTGTTATTTATGGTATTTTATTTTGTATTATGAGATTTTTAATGTATTATTTAATTTGAAAATTAGTAAATCTATAAATAATATTTTTTTTAAACATTTAAAATTATGATACGCAAAAATGTGTGTCATCTTCATTTATGACATGGCCTTTCTTGACAGGGGCTTTCTTGATACGCATTGTGTGTCATTAACACGCGCGTCATAAGGTTATGACACGCGAATGCGTGTCGTCTTCCTTCATGACAGGGCCTTCCTTGATACGCATTGCGTGTCGTAAACGTGCGTCGTAATTGTGCGTCGTAAAGGAGCGTCGTAAATGCGCGTCGTCTCTCTTTATGACAGGGCCTTCCTTGACGTGCATTTGCGCGTCGTCTGAGCCTTTTACGATGCGCAATGAGCGTCGTAAAAGGCTGTTTTTCTAGTAGTGGTGATAGCATATGCATCTTGACAATTGAAAGAGGGCAAAAAGAACTACCCCACTCATGATCTGGAGTGGGTAGTGGTAGTATTCGCTCTAAAGATATGGAGGCATTACCTCTATGGCACAAAGTGCAAACTTTTCACTGATCATAAGAGTCTCTAGTATCTCTTTATTCAGAAGGAATTGAACATGAGGCAATGATGCTGGCTAGAGCTACTCAAGGACTACAACTGTGAGATACTTTACCACCCCGGTAAAGCAAATGTTGTAGCTGATACTCTCAGTCGAAAAGTCAACCTTGAAAGAAAAAGGCCAAGAGCGTTGAGAATAGAAGTTGTCTCGAGTATTGTAGAAAGTATCAAGAAAGCCCAAGAAGAAGCTTCAGAGAAAAATAACCGAAAGGAAGAACGTTTAGGCAAAACATTAGTATTTGGTACAAACAATCAAGGATTAAAGGTATTCCAAGATAGGATTTGGATACCTAAGACAGGAGGAGTAAGGGATCTTCTGATGAATGAAGCCCACAAGACCATGTACTGGTGGCCGACGATGAAGCTCGATGTTGCAAAGTATGTGGCCGAGTGTGTAACTTGTGCAAGGGTTACGACACAACATCAGAATCCGTATGAGAGTTTAGAACCTTTACCTGTACCCATGGGTAAATGGAAAGACATTACCATATATTTTGTGACTAAACTACCGAGGACGAAGAACGGTCATGACATGATTTGGGTAGTCGTGGATCGTTTCACTAAGAGTGCACACTTCATAGTAGCCAATGAGAAATGGTCTATGGATAAGCTCGAAATGCTTACGTGAAGGAAGTGGTAATACTTCATGGTGTTCCTTTAACGATTATATCAGATCGTGATAGTCGTTTCACGTCAAGGTTTTGGTGAAGTCGACAAGAGGAATTGGGTACGAAGTTGTGTTTGATTACATCTTACCATCTGCAGACTGATGGTCAGAGTGAAATAAAGATTCAAACACTGCAAGATATGCTAAGATCATATACCCTGGAATTCCAAGGTAATTGGGATGAGCACTTACCTTTGGTAGAGTTTTCTTACAATAACAGTTTCCACTCGAGCATCAAAATGGCACCTTATCAAGCCTTGTATGGATAGAAGTGTTGTACGCCATCTTGTTGGCTTGAGGCTGGAGAAAAGCAGTTTGTTGGCCCAAGATAGTCCATTAGACTACTAAAAAGCTGAAGGTGATCAGGGAAAGGATGTTAGCCGCTCAGGATCGTTAAAAGAGCTATGTTGACAAAAAGAGACAACCGATTACATTCAAAGTTGGAGATTCAATTTTGCTTAAAGTCTCACCTTTAAAGGGACTTATAAGATTCGAAAAGAGAGGAAAGCTAAGTCCAAGGTTTATTAGACCATTCAAAGTTCTTCAGAGGACTGGGAACCAAGCTTACAAGCTCGGATTACCAGAAGAACTAGATGGTATTCATAACACTTTTCATGTGTGTTATTTGAGCAAGCTCACGGGTGAAGTTCCCAACATAATTCCAATTTCGGAGTTAAGGATGGATGAAAATAAGAGGCTAATCAAAGAGCTTGAGGCAATTGTTGATCGTAAGACAAGAAACTTTACAAAGCAACACGGTCGACTTAGTGCTTGTGCGATGGAAACATACGAATGGGCCGAACCTTACCTAGGAAATAGAGAGTGACATGATGAGTTGCTATCACATATGTTTGTTGATGTGTGATTCCAGGACAGAATCATCCTATGGGGGAGAGAATTGTAATGCTCGTGTTTCTAGGCTAAGTATTAATATGATGATGTAATAGTTAAGGTCAACAATTATAACCTATTTGACATAATAAAGAAGAATTATATGAGTATTATGTGTTTCATGATTATTATAATATAATAAAATAGGAAAAATCAGTCGAATTGTCCGTAAATCATAAAAATAAGTGCGCCAATATATATATATATATATATATATATATATATATATATATATATATAATTAAATGTTTAGAAAGTACACGTCTTCCCGATCCCAAAAATATAAATTTTGTAGAAATCTGACTCCGTATGAATTAGATATGATTTTTATAAAATATAAAAGTCAGTTGCGCACAAGGATTGTGTGACGTAAAATGCTACGAAGAGAACGGTTGAATTTTAGCTAATGCAACCAAAATGAAAATCGTAGTACTTCTTAAAATAGGAATTTTGAGAAAAAGAATGTCAAAACGGAGTCCATATGATAGAGTTATGATTTTAGCAAAATCATTTAATTTTATAAAAATAGGGACAAAAATATAAATTCAAAACTAGCCGGTGAAGTCTAAACGAAAGTTGTAGATCTCGTCGATTGCTACGCGTGGATATAGAGAACATCAAAAATGGAGATCGTATGAACGAGTTATATTTTTTAATAACATATTTATGTATTAAAATAAAGTATAAACCATATATACATATACATATATATACATATGTATATATCATTAAAAGGTATTGACGATGCGGTTATTATAAGACTAGTGTTGAGTACTTTCGACATTAGTTTACTACAAATATCATTAAATCTATTTAAATAGTATTACAAATGGGAGTTTAGTCATTTAAGTAAATATAGAGGGTAGTTTTTGAAAATTCAATTACTATGAATAACAGCCTCTAGCCTTTATTGATTCAAGAGTCTTTCTCTTCTTATCTCTTCGTTCCCTCGTGATTCGACTTCTCATTCTGTAGTTTGTAGTATAGTAAGGTGAGCGCCAAAGCGCTGCAATAATCTTTCTTAGAAAAATTCAGCGACGAAGTTCTGTCCCTGTAGAGCCCGGCTCCTAGCTAAAACTCCATTATAAATAAGTTATACTTACCCTATTTTAAATATAGCTTATATTTAAAATTAGTATTATTATTATGAACTTATAATAAATATTTGGGCTATTATTTTTACTTATATAAGTGTCGTTATAATATCTTTTTAACTACTCGCGGTACGGGGAATCTGGTTTAAAGGGCCGCATAGGGTTGTTGGCTTTCAGAAGTGCTATATGCCAAAATGGTCCTACCCTATAGTGTTTTATGTTTGGCCCCTGTTTATACATAGTGGTTGGAAAATATTGTTTTTAACTCTTATATAATAATAATAATGCTAAGACTAATAATTAGTCACGGTAAATATTAGACTAAAATCTAGCGGTAATAATAATAGGTTTCGTCGAATAAAATTATATTGTTAAAAGCGAAGCGCTGTCCGAGTTTGGAATCATCGCTTTAACAAGTGAGTGCATAGTTTCTTTCATCTTACACATAGATATGAAATATTTTATATAAATTACATGCTATGTGTGCATATTATCTATTTACTTGATATATGTGTTAGATGAACATTTTTATACAAGTTTTAAATGATTTAAACTATATATGTATTTTATATCTACAAAATGTTAGGGTAAAGATGGGTAGATGAAATAGACGATGTGCAATAAAATTATGAGAGGCCTCGATGTTTACGATGATCCAGTCATCTAGCGGAGTATAGATAACGACCACAGACTATTCTAGACAATCCAATGGAACGCTAGCAGACTCGCAACCTGTAGGTGTTTGTGAACGATGAGTTCACCGATGTACTCCATCCCCCTCATGGTTGCCTTACAAACATTTATTGCTGAGGACCCCCCTTAGTAGTGTCTATCCTAATGTTGATCCTTAGGCTAGGTCCCTTATGAAAAGTGTTTTAGGGACGTAAAGTGAGGATAACAGGAATGGGTAATTGGGTTGATTGATGTGATAAACCTAATAAACTATTTATTGTGGGTTGAAAACCCTATGTGCTCACTAGGCTCCCAATCATA